TAGTAACAAGCTACTGTGCAGTCAGCATCACCAAAAAGCCATTGGGGATGCTACCGCACAGTAATGCTGATTACTGCGCAGTCATTCAGTACTTGTGTGTAAAAGTACTAAATGATTGAGCAGTAACAACTGCACAGTCAGCATCTTGTGTAGATGCGGCCTGTTATTATGATTTTATCAGGTTTGCAGAAGCATAAGGTAGACACATAAACACACTACCACACCTCAAAGACCATGGAGACTGAAGAGAAGCTAGAAGAGAAGAACATGGAGAGGATCTGTATCTAAGTTTCTGTGGGGAGGGTGGGGAATAAAGCCACCATCCTGTGCAGCCCTGCTGCCTTGAACAGGTGTCCCACATGCACAGGGCTCCACTCTTATAGAAATACTGGATGAATCACCAGCTATTTTAGAAGATGTTAGGTGAATACTCATTCGTTTCTACTTGATCTAATGCTGTCTTAATTGATACTTGCATTGTTCCCTTTTGTGTAACAAGATATGCAATGACATTAAAAGACACAGAGTCATAAGTCTGAAGCTGGACATTTGCTTGTGGATTATGGTACCTACCAGGTGTCAAAATCTGAGCTAACAGCTATAAAAGGGAAGATTAACAATAACAGCTATGGGATTGGTTTGTCTAGGGTGAGATTCTTGCTGACCCAAAATTGACAAGGGACAGTTAACCCTCAAAGAATCCACAGGGAGATGAGTTCACATGGATATTTCAAGTTAATTTTCTTTCTTTGTTTAACATGGCTTTGTGCATAAGTTTAACAAAAGCTGTCACAAAGCCAGTAAGATTTTATTACAGAAATTCAACTAAGCTCACAAGGAAGGCTTCTCTGGTTAAATCTAATTGTTTTCCTCTACAACAGTACCACTTCACATGAAATGCCAAGGACAACAATAGGGCTAGGCACAAACATTACACAAACCAGTTGAAGTGAGCAGAAACTGGTTGAAACCTGTAACAGAACAGAAGTTCAGCGCACATAGACCAGTTTCAAAATGGCCAAAACCAGTGTGAGATAAACCTAGTTGAATGTAGTAGCAGATTTAATTGATTGAGCTCAAACCAATTTATGCAACTTCTGTCCCAGATCCAAGTGCCTATAGGGCTTCATAAAGAGCAGATGTGCCTACAAGAAACCTCAAAGAAGTGGGTGATGATTTTTGAGGATGGGCTTTGGCCACTTGGAGTTGTGTCTTCCTCAACTCTGCTTCTGACAAGCAGGTCTGGATTGATTGTAAACAGTAAAGAGCAGGCTCCACTCCCTCAGGTTGCTGGTTGTGACTTACATGTAGTTGTTGTGCTGGAACTGAACTGACTTCCCTCATTTCCAATGAGTTTATGAGTACTTTTCACTCTCGATCTGCCTATGTTGCCCTGAACCATTTGGTAATTCATATAAGCCCCCCACAATGTGCAAAGCCATGCTAAGCTCAGTCTAACCCTGACACTGGATTGTCTTATTTGAACCTCCTGGTACAAACGTCAGTCCACTGACAAGAGGAATAGGTGCTGGGTATCCAACTTACAAGTGAGAGCTGAGGCTGCAAGGGGAGTAGGACATTTTTCAGCTCCCCATGTAGACATATGTCCTCTAGAATTGCTGCTACCCTGTGGCTGCACGGGGAACCTCACTAATACCAGAGGTGATGCTGATAATCATTGATTCAGGACAACAATGTACAGTTTCCTCAGATCCAAGGTAAAGCCCAATCTTTGGAAATGTCCAGAATTATTTCCTGGAGCCATGTTCTCTCCCTGAGATGAGATACGGATTCCCCAAGTACTTCCCCACATGCAGGGGTGTGCACTAGCAGCAGGGAAAAAAATAGTGGGACAAACTTGTGCCACTACTTTTTGCTGCTATATACAACCCTGCACATGCAGTTTGGTGTGGGACAAATTGCCCTTCTTTGGGGAAACTCCTGTTTCCCCACTCTTCCAAGCTCCCATCCTGCTGGAGGAGCTGGGGAACACCTAAAGGAAGGGAGACATTCTGGTCAGCAGCCAAAGCATCTCCCTGAAGGGCCAAGCCTTCATGTCTGCTGGCGCATATTCCTGGAGCATTTGCCATGCTGCTTTTTTGGCAGTTTTTTTGATACCTGGAGCTCCTGGTATTAAATGTTGATGCCGCGCTGCAAATTGCATGTGCCCGTTTGCAGTTTGAGGTGCTGCAAACTGCAGGTGAGCACTTGTCTGGATGCACCCCCTGCATTCACTTAAACACTACATTCTTGCAGGAAGGTATTGGTTATTTCTGTACCCTAGAAATCCCTTTGAGGAAAACGGCCTCTTAACAAACCACTCTTCAAGGAGAGGGTAGGTGTGAGATCCCTGCTTTCAGATCTGTCAGCCTGTAGGAAAAGTCTTGGGGATGTCAATGGGTAAACTCAAGAGTGATCTCTCCTGAATGCTTTTTTTTTTTCATGGACACAATAGCAGACTGTTTCCCAACATTCTGTTAATTTGAATGAAGAAGGTGATTGTAAAAAAAAAAGTCCTTTCAAGTAAAGTAGCCTAGATTATCACCTCCAACAGAAACACTGTCTTCTGCCTCATACCATTCAATACTCCACTGGAATGAAACCCAACACAGCAGAAAAGCTCAGAATAAAAGCAGAAGTTTAGCAATCTAGCCCTGTCCCCTAAAATCTGGATAATTCTATCTCCTTGGCCCCATCCAACCAACAACATAATAGGAGATGTTTTATCTCTTACATTAACAGACTCCACCAAGATCCCTTCAGGCATTACTGAGCGGTTAATCCTGGCAATCCGCTCCAATGTTTCAATGGCCGCTTTGTTATTTCCAATAGATACGTTGAACCGGGCAGATTCTGGAATGAACTGCAAATACAGGCTGGTTAGGAAGAGGTTTTATATGTTTCATTTCTTGAACCTATGGGAAGTAAAATTGAGCCCACTAGGGACTGGATTTTCCTTTTTCTTTTCTTTCAGCTATTGAAGATCTACAGCACTGGTTCTCAAACTTTTTGAACTCGGGGCACCCCTCACTGGACTTGAGGCACCCCTCTATAACTTGAATTATGTGTCATTCCATTTCAAAAACTAATTTATATATTACAGTTCTTACCTCTCTGAATAGGGGCTGGGCAGTAGGGTTGGGGCATCATCCAGGTACCCTGGCTTTTCGGTTTGTCTCATTACACTTCACTTATCTCCTCACACCTTGCTGCTGGGTTTTTGGTTGTAGCCATGTTGGTCTAAGGACATAGGCAGGCGAGGTTCTTTGGGTAGATGTACTATCTTTTATTAGACCAACTGAGAAGTTGGAAAAAAGTTCTCTGCAAGCTTTCAGGTGCAATCAGAGACTCTCTATGCCTGTAGAAGGATGATTGTGCTTGAAACCTTGCAAAGAACTTTTTTCCAACTACTCAGTTGGTCTAATAAAAGATATCACATCTACCCAAAGAACCTTGCCTGCCTCAAACCTTGTGGCACCCTTCGAAGGCTCTAGCAGCACCCCAAATAGCCTGCCACCCTGGTTGAGATCAATACTGAGCGACAAGGTTCAGTTTTCCACTCTACTGAGAATGTACATTTGTTAACATCAAGCTAGATGCTAAGTGGTTATAAATACATGTGGCAAAGTCAAGGGGTTTTATTTGTGATATCTTTTACTGAACCAACCAAACAGTTGGCAGAGGAAGTTGACAAGGTTTTGGATATAAAGCACTCTTCTCCTACAGCAAAACATTACAGTAGGATACTATAATAGGTATAGCATCATTCAGGGAAGCAATACTGATCTACTCAAACTGAGAACTTGGCCCAGTACATTAATAGGGCCATGTAAGGACTTTGGATAGAAATAATCCCTTGTACATCTGCAAAGTGTTCTCGCAGAATGGAGAGAGAAAGCGAGCACCAATACACAGCAAGTCTAGGGCATTCAAGAAACAAAAAGAAAAGACATATTTTAAAACCAGACAAAATGCTTATTTAATAGTATTAATGAAAAATGTAACTTGATTCTAACATTTTAAGATGGGAAGTAAGACCTTTTTGTGGTATCTTTTATTGGATCAAGTGTATAGTGGGAAGAGATTTTGCACAAGCTTGTGCATATGAAGTGCTTTTCTCCAGATCTGAAAAGAGGCAGATATAGAGGAAATGGTCTGTTTTTAACTCCATGTAACTGAGCACAATGGAACCCAAATCTTTCTTGTCATTGTTAAGTTCAGCCTGTATCTGCTTCTTTCTCATATTTGAAGATGGGTACTTAGTGCCCAAAAGCTTGTCCAACATCTCTTCCAACTATTCAGTTGGTCCAATAAAAGACATGACAAAACACCCTTACCTTTTGTACGTTTCCTGAACCATCATAGCTACAACAATACTTCAACCTCATTAAATTTTTAACATGGGACTATTAACAAACCACTACCATCTTCACAGAAATTTCTCAAGCTTCATATAGATTCTGCATTAAAATCATGGAACAGGCAAAACTAGGAAGCATTGGTTTCACCCCTCAAATACACCACAAAATAGGTATATTATTGAAATAAAGAGAAAAATTGGGTAGACATTCAAAAAACATTTGTTTGAACTTTTTAAAGAATTTAATTCACTGTGCTTCTGCCTCTTTTATGGTATTACCACTAAAAAAACCCATGGTGTCTAGCTTGAATTACACAATTTTCAGTTAAATTTCAAAGACCCATGGTATTTACAGAAATTATGATTTCTATTTGAATGAATACATAGTCATCTCAGATGTACAAATATACTCATTTGATCAGGAACCTGAATTTTAAATTCCTTCTTATTTATTTAACCAGTCAAAGAGCATCAGTTCCACTCAAATAATGGTATAAATACAGAACTGTTCACATACAGCCACAGACATCAAATGTTCCCCTGATTGAGACATATCATTTTATATAGTTAAATAATGAATATGAGGCAACTTCAATCTGGCAAAAAGCTGATTTTGTTTGGTACGCTTTTCCTTGTGAATTATTCCTTCAGAAGAGAGAGATGTGAACAGGGCTCACAGCAATAGATTTTTAGTTTTCCTAGGGTTTGAACTGCAGAAAGATCTTAATTCCTGTGGATCCCTGAAAGATTCCACCCACTCTAGTCTCATGTATGTGTATATATGCCCTCCCTAATTCTCATTATAAATGGTAGAAGACATTATATGAATCCAAGAGACTGGTATGTTTTGATCGTGGGATGCTGCTGTGGAGCAGAATGATGCCAGAGAAGCAGCCAAGCTGCAAGAAGATGATTCCTTGAGGGGGCAATACCTTCCTGGTGACAAATCTAGCACTGTACAAAGGACCTGGGTCTTTTCAAGTCTATCCCCAAACAAGGATTTGTTTGGGTTCTGGTGGAGAGAGGGGCAATGGTGAGGTCAAACTGTCAGGACCTAATGTTGGCTAAGCGTACTTAGAGATTCTGGACCTATTGCCCAGAATCTCTAAGTACACTTAGCCAACATTAGAGATTAGATTAGCCAACATCGGAGATTTTGGACCTAACAGGAGCTTTTAGTTGGCTAAGTGTACTTAGAGCTTCTGGACCTATTGTGTTCTTTTGGGTGAATGGAGAAGGGTTTTTCCTTACCTTAAACACAAGGATAAGAACAACACCAGGAATAGAGGCAATTCTGATCAGCCAGCGCCAGCCTATGGTTGGGTTAACCACTGATGCCAATCCAATAATTAATAGGGAACCTGCCAACCAGAACACCTTGTCAAAGAGAAAGCCATAGGTTAGGAGAAAGGAAGTAATTAGGGTGGCAGGTCTATTTCAACCTCCTGTGCTCTCTTTTAGTCTGAGCAGCCTTCTCCCACTATAGATTCATATTCTGGGAGAGATATGGCTCAAACTCCACCAGCATGTGTACTGCCAACACAGTTGAATTTTAGGGGAGAGCTGAGACAAAGGCTCAGGATAGTTTCATTCCGATCTTCATGAATATAGATAACCAGGGGTGGTTATTATTGCAAAATAAAGTCCCTTGATGCTGCTATTCACGAGCCTTTATACTGGCTCACTCTCAAACATTAATATAAACAAACATTTTCTCATACGAATGTCTATAGCAGTAGACAATTCAGTCATGAACACATGTGCAAATAATTGGCCAGATTTCCACTGCTGTACATTGGTCTGGCTCCATGAAAATCAACGCCAATTTACATCAAGGAAGAATCTGGCCCTATATTTGGAAGCCTATTCAGCCAAGATCTAAATAACGACAAACAGCAAGCCAAGTTGTGAAGGCTGTACTCTGTTATTAGGTAATCTGCAAGCAAAAGTAAAGAATAGCTCTTGTGTAGAAATTTTAGGTAATCCAAAAACGACAAGAGAAACAATGATCACTCCTGTGGGTCAAGTAGAGAATCACATGATAATCAAACACTCATTGGCACCAAACCCACGGGCAAGGCAGAGGCCAACATTTGTCTATGTAAACTATTGGTAGAAAAATCATAGATATGCAGAAGCATCACAAATGCTTTACAGATAATTTCCACATGGAAAGGCCTTAAACCCATTTAATAAAATATTCACAAATAATTCAAGGAGCTCTAGTCTTATTCTGCTCCTGTTAAGCAGTAACAATTATTCCAATCCTAACCTGCAAGTATTAAACTACACACTCCTGACTCTCAGTTCTTTGAGAATTTCCCTGTTTAAGCTCCTTTTGAACATTTTTGATATGTACATTAGGGCTGTGCAAAGCTTCGGGTGGCAATTAGATTCAGAGGAGATTCGGCCCAATTTGGTGGCTGATCTCCAAATCCGAATTGAATCAGGGGACCAATTAAAAGATCTGAATCAATTCAAAGCTCTCCGAATCTTTGGATGAATCACCGCTCCTGCAGTGGCCCTGGGGCTTTGGGGGCTTGTGCAGAGCCCCCCATGTGGTGCAGGGCACGGAGGGGCAGCAGAGATCACCCCCCACCACCAGGAGCGGTAAGTCCTGGGGGGGGGGGTTGTGTTTTTATTTTTTTTCTTAAAGGGCCAGAGCTGGTCCATGTGGGGCACCTGTTTGGGGGGGACTGGGGAAGCACGGGGGCATCAGGGGGCTTGTGCAGAGGCCCCCATGCAGCTTGGGGCAGTGGGGGGCAGCAGGGATCGCCCCCTGCCCAGCAGCAGCCGCTGAGCCAGGGCTTTTCTTTTTTTCCAAGTGCAGGGAGCTGGGGCAGCCATTGCCGGCCTGGAAGAGGGGTGGGGGATGGGCCTGGCTGATTCAGCTGAATCAAATGGAGACAGTGATTCGAATCACCAAATTGAATCACTGTCCCCCAAATTGGCCAAATCTGAATCCGAAGCAAATATTAGTTGCTTTGCACTAATCTTATATGTACACTAAGGCCTAGTATACATATAAGACTAGTGTGAGACCACATCGTTCATCACTTCTTATAATCTGAGATGTGTTTAGAATTCTGGTTTACAAATATATAAAAAGCTGGAGCATAATTAAACCACACTGGACCAGCCCCCAGTTTAATGCTGATAGTTCCAAACTGGGAGTCCAGTCTCCCTAGGTGCAGCATGACATTGAATTTATTCTTTCGGCAATTCTTAGCTGCCATGCATATAGTCTTATCAAGGAAACTGATTCAGCTGTTGACCCTCACTCCTGACTGACAGCCTGTCAATGTCAGTCTTCCTGAAGTAGGCAACACATGTATCAACATTGTAAGCAAAAGGTTGGATGTCAGCTATCAATCAATGTCTCAGTGTAATGTATGGAGCATCCAATTGTTAGAAAAGAAATTGCTTCTCTTCTGCACACACATATACACCCACACCCATATATATGTTTAATAATTCAGAATAAACACTGTGTGCAATACATATTCATATATTCTGGAACTCATTAAAATAGGCTGAGATTTTAGTTCCAGAATTTTCAGACACACAAAATCTCCTGGGATTCTGGTCTAGGAGATTTAGTAACATACCTAAGCTTACCTGAGATAAGGGCAACATATATCCTCTGTATTTTGTAGGCAAAAATTCAGTTTTTATGATAAGCCTGAAACAGATACACACACACACACAAAGAGAATGACAATCTATATACAAATAAGGTGCCAGCTCAATCAATTTCAGATTTCACTGTTAGTAGACATGTAACAGTGAAGTTCCTCAATTTGCACTCAATTTACATGTCAGTGGAAATTGTGTATATTACTAAAGCAATCATTCATTATTTAAACCATAGTGCAAAGTTTGTTTTTTACATACGAGTAGCCTTTCAATAGCCATTAGCCATTTATATATGTCCTTAATAAAACATACACTTACTAACTATTTGAGTTGGTCTAAGAAAGGACCTTGTCTGTACACTTACTAATGCACTCATTAATATGTAACGTAAAGCATTGGTCCCATTCTTTTCTAGATTGCATAATTTTTTGGGGAATTGTTATATAAACCTCCGGTCAGATTGGCAAGGTTCAATGAAATTGTGAAGTATTACCTTCAAGACAACATGGGAATTTTCCTGTATTTCCTGTTCATTCCTCCCCCACTTAAGAGGCCTCTTGCTGATTGTCTCCCTGTTGAATTCCCTTTCCTCCACCTTGACACTATATAGGGATCAGTATGTAGGAAGCCAAGTGTAATGCTATGGGATATATTATAATATTTTCTCACATAATATAACATGTCCCTTCCTCTTTCTTCCTCTTCCCCCCACTTTCCCTCCCCCGACAAAAAAAAGTCTTTTTTTTTTGGAAGGCAGAATGTAGAAAAAACCTTTTTTTTCAAAGTCACGGCCAACTGCGTGACAACTGGGAACACAGAGTGTCCAGGAAGTGTGGCACTAGGAAGTTCCTGGTGCCAGCTGCTTCATTCAGATTGCCTCTTGGCTTGCCACACTTCCTGGATACTCTATGTTTCTGGTCAGCTTACTCTGTATCACATAAAGTTAGGCCCTAGACACATTCAAGGGCAGTAGCAAAATGTTTAGTTCTGTACTATAAGCAGTTCTTTATATAAGTTCCTGTAAATAAAGTGTTGTTTCCGCATCACTAGCCTCATCAAGATACTATTGCGGCTCACTTGATGCCTCAGTCCAAGCTATAGCATGTAGTGTCTCCAGGCAGGCTTCTTTTCCAACCCCACCCCCACCTTTTCCACCTCGAGCTTCCCCACTTAAGACATGCACTCCACTGTTGAACGGCTGACGTTGGAGAAAAAGATGTTCCCATCAAACGTGGTTCCCATCTTCAAAAAAGGGAGGAAGGAGGACCCAGGAAACTATAGGCCAGTTAGTCTTACCTCGATCCTAGGCAAGCTGTTCGAGAAAATTATTCTGGCACACATCCAGGAGGGGCCAGCAGGGGACTGCATGCTTAGGGGCAACCAACACGGGTTCATCAGTGGCAGGTCCTGTCAGACCAACCTG